CTTCATTCAAAAGAAGCTTCCAGGGCTACTGTGAAATGTGAGACATAGCAATGCATTCAGAACTTGAAACCAAAAAACCTGATCAGACGTTTCCAACTAGTTTAGTATTTTATGTTCATATTCTTTTACTAAGGTATCGTTTTTTAAAAATTATAAACAATCTTGATTCAGTCACTGTTTGACAAAAATTGCCAATAGCCTTGATTTTATATATATATGTATATACAAACACACATGCACACATATACATATGTGTATATATGTATATAACAAAAGAAAAGCAATTAAAATTTTGCAACTATTTTAGTTTTGGTGTGAAGGAGTGATTTAAATGTTAGAAATTTGAGCATTTTTACAATAAATTTTTCTTATCTTTGAACTTACTGTTGCATAGTTTCCTTCAAAATCTAGCTTACTTACTGTTATGCTGTGGTTTACCCAAAGGTATTTCTAACATTAGAAACATCAAAGAACCTGCTTATTCAAACCATTTCCCTCATTACTTGGGTCTTGAGTGTTGAACTCCCAATAGTGGATGACCAAAATTCATGCTATTTTAAGTTATGAATGTTTTAATAGTGGATTCAGACTAAAGAAACACGACTTATCCAACACCTGTTGGTTTTATTCACTGGGTTTTTTTTTTTAACTAATTTACATTCAGGAATTTCACGTTCTGTTGTCTAGGATACTCTTGGCTTCAGTAAAGTAGTTAGTTTGAATCTTTATTCTAGTGTTTTCTTTTTGATATCTCCACTCACCCCCACAGACACTATTATCTGTGGGAATTTTCTCTATTTGTGCTGATATCTTTGCCCATTTACCTCTGTCCTTACACCCAGGCAATCTGTAAATGTAGTATTCCTTTTTTATCGTCGATTTTTTCATTGACTTCTGTGTAAACATCAATCAAGATCTTGTGACAGGTCAATTTCAGAACATCAGCTTGGTTTCTACTTGTTGTGTATAATCTGAAGATTTCCAGTTTCTTTTTCTTTTAAAATCCAATTATGTTCTCTTTTTTCTCAACTTTCTGGGATTCTTAGCTATGATTTCATCTTATGGTTTTGCTATAAAAGCACTATCTTATCCCTTTTTGTCTAATTTGACATAAAACCTGTCTTAATCTTTAAAAGCTCATCGAATAATGGCCAAATAAAATCCAGAGAGCATACTATCAAAACAGTTTCCAGGGCTCTCTCACATTTCCAAGTTTATTTTTAATTCTTAATTCCCTTGTTATTGTCCCAATTTATGATATTCTCTTTTTTCTATTTTTCTCCTTAATTAGTAGTCTGCCTTTTTTCACATGAAGGCATCTGTTTTCCTAACTGTAAATTTTTTTTCCCTTAGTAATCAACTTACATTTATGTTGAAGTCCAGTTTTATTTAGGTATTACTTTTGTGCTTAATCTATAATTTCTGCTTCATTTATACACGTAGAATTTCTAAACCTGTTTCTGAAGCTTTTACGTCAGTAGAGTTTCTACCCAATAATTTTGTGAATTGAGGAATTACCATTTATATTTTCTGTTCACTTCTTAAGTACTTAATTATTTGGCTTTACACTCTACTGAAATGAGAAATGATGGGAACTCTGGTATCTAAAATGAAAATAATATGTGTTCTTCTTGTGTATTATTTGAGGAAGTATCTGATTTTCTTGAACTGGAATATATACCAACTTGTACTATGAGCAGTGGAAAGTCTTCACATGTCCCTCTAGGCAGATCTAAAATGATTTCTGATGGAGACATGAAAAACATTTGTCCCATGATGGAGAGAGCAACAAAGCAGTAACTCCCCTGAGGCATGAACCATGATTTAGAAGAACCAAAGAGTCAAATAGGAAAAACAAAATTACTGTACTTTCCCCACTGATACAGAGCTGAATAGAAAGCCAGGCATCTTCAAGTTCTGCCTCATTATTTGGGCACATCAAGTTTTATTGATGTAATCCAGAAAATCTCAGCTCTGCAGAAGCTATGATGAAGTATCAATGAATTGATGGTTCACTTCAATAGAGGTTTTTCCAACCATGTAGTTATCTACTAGCCTTGGAGGTACCTATCTTACTAATACTTGTTAATTGGAGATATTACTTTTCTAATCTTTCTTTACATTTAAGAGAAATGCTAGTTATTTCAGATTAGTTTCATTTCCTAATAGGGTATAATGTGCATTAGAGTGCTTTATTAATCCAACACTCAAGTACATTTACTAGCTTACATTTTACAATTTAGTTTGTAGCAGGGCTAGGAATCAAACTCACCATGCCTTATTTCATAGCCCATGTATTTAACACTATACTACACTCGGCTCTGCATTGCATTTTGTTTTATGTTTTGAAACAGATAATATTGTCTCATTTGAAATGGACATGCTTGTTCTCTTTCAGTATCGTCTTGCTGTTCCCCAGCCATTCAACTACATAATGGCACTTATAAAACACTACTTACTGGTGACATTGGAAATAATGATTGTAGATTTCATATGATTAGGCCAGTTTTAACATGCTTTTGAACATCTTTTATAGGTTGCTACCTCTTGCATATACATTTATATCATCACTTTTCAGTCTTAAACTTGGTTGCTTTACATCATTAGGTAATATTTTTTTCAGGTATCCTCATTCTCTTACTGCTTAAGGAATGTTTTCAAATAAAATAAAGGTCTAGAACTGATGATTACTGATGCCTAGAGATCAGGGATACAGCTTTATTCCCCTCAAATATGGATTATTGTCAAGAACAGCTCTGCTCTGTATGAAAAGGAAATTCAGACTTTTAAAAATGAGGACCTTCCTGAATACAGTTTTATTCTAATCTCTTATTAAATCCTAAGATTAGGCTGCTGGCCTCCATTACTTTCACAAAATGAAAAATGGCTCAGGAGCTAAGTAAGCTAAGCCATCTCTCTCTCAATTGTTTCAGTTTCTCAGGAATTGCTGTACAAAGCTGCCAATAACGATCTCCGGGGATCTCACCCCCATTCCACCTCCCACTGCCTCCTCTGCAGCTCCAGATGCCACCAAAAGAAGGAGCTTTGAAGAAAGTGCCTGTACCCTCTTTTACCCTGAGGTGGGTGAGGCCAGGCAGGGTGATTCTCAGGATATCCTGATGATCAAAGGTATAGTTGAAGCCTTCATCAAGAATTTCGTGAAGATGACCAAGAAATTTGGGAAAAGTTACCAAATAACCTAGAAACTGAAGACAGAGCTCAAGAATGAATGGCATAAATGCCACCAGAAATGTAATATGTGTTGACATAGAAGACCCTAAATACACTCCTTGAGGGCAGAGACTATTACACTGTTTTTATATCTCTCCCTCACCTTTACAATGTGTAGCATACTAGCAAGCATATACACTATATTCAGTAAATGATAGTGTATGACTTAGAAGATTTTATGGAAAGTGTTCTCCAACCCTTCTTTCTCTGGCACTGAATCTAAAGATTGTTTGCCCATTCACCAGGAGACTAGTGACAAAGAGTTCAGTGATGTCTCAAGCTTCTTGGCCGCTGTTGTCTTCTGTCTGCGCGTCTGAGTAGGAAATATTTATCTGTCCAGTATATGAATTTCCAGTATTAAATACTTAAAGTTTTATCTTCATTGATGCCTGGGCATTTACTTCTTAGGTATTTTATTGTAGTTAGCTATATAATGGAAATCTTATCTTAACCACACTCTAGGGGATTTTTTTAAATCCCTTTGTATCTGTAAGATTCATTAACAAACACTCTTGCTTCTTGATTAGATCTTACTTTAGTCATCACTGTGTTTCAGAAGTGTAGGATGTGCTATCACAACATCAATTTCCCAGAAATCTAATTTATTAATCTTGAACGGCAATGCATAGTCTTATATCTCACTTGAGCAATGCTAAAAGAGTATTTACAGTGACATCGATTGAAGATACTGTGTAATTTAAAGAAATTCATGGTTTACTGTTTCTCTCAGAGAAAGGGAGACAATAGAAACTCAGTTGCATTCATTCTTCTGTTTGTCTTTCACTTCTTCATTAAGGAGTTATCATTTAGAGGCAGACCTTCAAAAATCTCATCTTTGAGTACTTGATTTCTTGTACCTTTTGTGCCTCCAGATATATGTAAGGCTTTTTATTTGTAATGTTTTTCAAGTTAAAAAGTGAACATTTCAGAACACTACTAGTTTTTTGACAAACATGAAATGACATTCCTTATGTATTCTCAACAGCTAGCTTTTTAGGTTATAAGGAATCCAGTCAGAACCAAGTATATTTTATTCAGGAAAATAATCTTTCCTGAATGACATACTTTTCTCTTGAATGAGAGATGTGTTAAATTATGCTGTATTGACTAGGGGTTTTGGTATAACTGTGAAACATTTCAAAGGGAAATTGAGTCTTTGTCTTCATGAGCTTTTATGTATATAACCAAAAAAAACCCTTAAATGTAGTTTATTCTATTCCATGGATAAATTAGTTACTTCTAGCATATGCTGCCAAGGAAAAACAGTATGAAAGAGACCTATGTAGATTAGGTAGGACATATGGGTTTTAGGTCTCTTTCATTTTCATCTCTGATTCTATAAAATGAAACAATCAGGTTACATCGTAAGTTTTGTCTGTCAGTTTATATAGTGAATTTGAATCAATAATCAGGGACAAATTTGATTAGAATATTGTTAGTGATTGTTATTGATAAATATCTTAACTATGTTTTTAGTAGTAATACATAAAAAGGAATTATTCTGTTCATTCTTCCACTAAAACTGGTTTTCCCTCTGTTAACATAACAGGAGAAATTATGTGTATATGAAACCTGTGAAATTTTGTTGGCAACATCTAGTGTGGTTTGTCCTCCGCTAGTTGTCCTCTTATCGTCAGCTTAAAAATCATATCATTACAGGGAATGGCAGTGGGCAACAACTAAAATGTTACAGTACAAACACAGAATGGTTTAACGTTATTTTTAGGCTTGAATTTTCTTATGATTTCTGTCTTTTCTTCTCTCTTCAGGTTCCCAACCAACATCAGATAAGTCTTCCCAGAGATCATCAGAGAGTATAAACTGTAGCCCTACTCGGAAGAGGTCTTCATCCGAAAGTACTTCTTCAGGCAAGTGCTATTCATTTTACCACACTTTGAAGGTAATTTCCCATCTGTTCCTCCTGAACAGGCTTAAAATTTTGTATGCATCACAATAAAAATTTTCATGTACAATAAAAATTATAATATAGTATAAAAAACAAAAGTGGCTCTGGGATGTGAGAAACAGTAATAATGTACATTGAAACAATATAATAGTCTTTTTTTTTCACCCCTCTTTATGTCTAGCTGGATATACAAAAGCCCTTGCTTATCTGTGGGGGATATGTTCCAAAACCTCCAGTGGATGCCTAAAAAATCATAAAAAGTGCTGAATCTCACAAGTGTGTATATATATCTATATGTTTTCCATTCATGTTTTCTACGTACAGACTTAAAGCCTTTTCTGTTTTAACTTAAGTACCTCACATGCACCATGGCCATAACTTCCACAGTTTGAGATGTGACAGCAAACTAGCATGAATTTCTTTTTCCTTCTTTCATAATTTCTCAGATAGAAGATTCATTCTTACTAGTAGATTTTTACAACTTCAATATATGATATTTTTATTCCCTATTAAGTTAAGAACTTTATGTAAAGGGAGTACTTTAAATCTTATTTTTGACATATCCCTATTTCCAGCATCACCATTCTTGAGTTTTCGGGGTTTATTAAGTAACATAATAATGGCTACTTGAATACAACTATATAAGTACCAAGATAGTTTATCTCATAACATGGAATGTTACCAAGTGACTAACAAGGTGTGTAACATGTACAGCATGAATGCACTGGACAAAGAGATGATTCACATACTGGCTGGGGCAAAGAGGGATGGCCCAAGATTTATCATGCTACTCATAACAGTGTTAAATTTAAAATTTATAAATTGTTTATTTCTGGAATTTTCCATTTAGTATTATTGGATGACAGTTGTCTGCAGGTAAATGAAACTGTGGAAAGCGAAATAGCTTATAAAAGCAAGCACTACTCTAGTCCAGAGGGAATGATTTTAAAAAATAAGAGTAAGCAGACACAAAAATATAAAGATTTTAAAAGTTGAGTTGAAGTGAGGGGTGTGTAGTATAATGGAATGTATTTATAATAAAAGCTTGGACATACTATATAAAATTGTTTAGTGATATACTTTCTAAATTAGCTTTTACATGTCTGTGAGATATGCAAAACAATTTATGAGGTTGTAGGAAGAATATTAATATTTCTAACCTCAACTTTTAAAATTTATAATGTTTATGTATTTAAAATATATTTCTTTTTTCTCTTTTTAATATATCTTATTGATTATGCCATTACAGTGGTCCCATTTACCCCCCTTCGTTCCCCTCCACCCTGCACACCCCTCCCCCACCATTCCCCCCCCTTTTGTTTATGTCCATGTGTCACAAGTTCTTTAGATTCTATATTTCCCATACTATTCTTGCCCTCCTCCCCGTCTATTTTCTACCTACCATCTATGCTACTTATTCTCTGTACCTTCTTCCCACTTCTCCCCCCACTCCCCTGTTGCTAACCCTCCATGTGATCTTCATTTCTATGGTTCTGTTCCTGATCTAGCTGTCCTCTTAGTTTGCTTTTGTTTTAGGTGTGGTTCTTAATAACTGTGAGTTTGCTGTCCTTTCACCGTTCATCTTTGTTATCTTCTTTTTCTTAGATAAGTCCCTTTAACATTTCATATAATAAGGGCTTGATGATGATGAACTCCTTGAACTTGATCTTATCTGAGAAGCACTTTATCTGTCCTTCCATTCTAAATTAAAACTTTGCTGGATAGATCAGTCTTGGATGTAGGTCTTTGGTTTTCATGACTTGGAATACTTCTTTCCAGCCCCTTCTTTTTTTTTTTTTTTTTTTTTTTTTTAACTATTTACTTTTTTTTATTGATTATGCTGTTACAGTTGTTCTATTCCCCCTTTCATTCCCCTCCACCCTACCCCCCCATCCCCACCATTACCCCCCCTTTAGTTTATGACCATGTGTCTCAAGTCCTTTAGATTCTATATTTCCCATGCTATTCTTGCCCCCCCATCTATTTTCTATCTACTGTCTATGCTACTTATTTTCTGTACCTTCTCCCCCCTTCTCCTCCTCCCACTCCCCTGTTGCTAACCCTCCTTGAGATCTTCATTTCTATGTTTCCACTCCGGATCTAGCTGTCCTTTTAGTTTGCTTTCGTTTTAGGTGTGGTTGTTAATAACTGTGAGTTTGTTGTCCTTTCACTGTTCATGTTTCTTTAACTTCTTTTTCTTAGATAAGTCCCTTTAACATTTCATATAATAAGGGCTTGGTGATGATGAACTCCTTGAATTTGATCTTATCTGAGAAGCACCTTATCTGTCCTTCCATTTTAAATGAAAGTTTTGCTGGATAGAGCAATCTTGGTTGTAGGTCTTTAGATTTCATGACTTGGAATACCTCTTTCCAGCCCCTTCTTGCCTGTAAGGTCTCTTTTGAGAAATCCGCTGACAGTCTGATGGGGACTCCTTTGTAGGTGACTGTCCCCTTAGCTCTTGCTGCTTCTAGGATTCTCTCCTTCATTTTAATCTTGGCTAATGTAATTACGATGTGCCTTGGTGTGTTCCTTCTTGGGTCCAACTTGTTTGGGACTCTCTGAGCTTCCTGGATTTCCTGGAAGTCTATTTCCCTTTGCCAGATTGGGGAAATTCTCCTTTATTATTTGTTCAAATAAGTTTTCCACTGGTGGCTGTGCCTTTCCCCCTTCTGGTACCCCTATAATTCGGATGTTGGAGCGTTTAAAGATGTCCTGGAGGTTCCTAAGACTCTCCTCATTTCTTTGAATTCTTGCTTCTTGACTCTTTTCTGTTTGGCCATTATTTGCTTTCTTCGGGTCCACTCCATTGATTTGAGTCCCAGTTTCCTTTTCATTGCTACTGGTGTCCTGTGCAATTCCATTCATTTCAATTAGTTTCGCCTTCATATATTTGTCTAATTTGTCCATATAATCAACCAGTTCTGTGAGGATCCTGATCACCAATTTTTTAAACTGTGCGTCTGTGAGTTTTGCTATTTCTTCATCGCTTAGATTTATTTCTGGGGCTCTGAGATCCTCCTGCGCCATTCTTGGTCTGTTTGGGCCCTTTAAGTGTGAGAAGCGGCGGCTTGGATTCCCAGGTCGCTGGGTTGTGACGCTGTATGTGGGGGCGTGGCCAGAGCGGGGAAATGGCGACCCCCTCTGCCGCTTCTCACAGCTGGGTGCGGAGGAGCGGTGCCTTAGGTGGTTCACCTGGGCCGGGCCACTCAGAGTCTCTGGGTTATGACGCTGTATGTGGAGGTGGGGTCAGAGCAGGGAAATGGCGGCGCCCTCCACTGCCGCTTGCCGTGGGGACCTGCCGGCCCGGTCCAACCGCCCACTTCCTCGCCTGTCCACCCTCGAACAAATGCGCGACCTCAGTCAACACGCAGCCCCGGCCCGGCTGTCTCCCCCGAGGTCGCTCGCCTGGTTGCTCGCTGGGTCGCTCACTAGGTCTGACCCTGCGCCTGGATTCCGCGGGCCTGAGCCCGTCTGACCGAGTTTTCCTGTGCAACCCTGCTCCGCCAGCCGCTGGTTTCGCCCCTTACCGGTCAGGCTGAAGAATTTGTTGTTAACGGACTTCCGAAAAGTTCAATTTTCCGTGTTCTGGCTGTGTTTTCTGTTGCTAATATTTAGTTTTCTCTAATCTTGGTTGTGGGAGAAGGCACGGCACATCCACCTATGCCTCCATCTTGGCGGAAGTCTCCAGCCCCTTCTTGACTGTAAGGTCTCTTTTGAGAAATCTGCTGACAGTCTGATGGGAACTTCTTTGTAAGTGACTGTCCCCTTCTCTCTTGCTGCTTCTAGGATTCTCTCCTTCATTTTACCTTGGCTAATGTAATTATGATGTGCCTTGGTGTGTTCCTTCTTGGGTCCAACTTCTTTGGGATTCTCTGAACTTCCTATATTTCCTGGAAGTCTATTTCCTTTGCCAGATTGAGGAAGTTTTATTATTTGTTCAAATAAGTGTTCCACTGGTGGCTGTTCCTCTTCCCCTTCTGGTACCCCTAGAATTTGGATGTTGGAATGTTTAAAGATGTCCTGGAGGTTCCTAAGCCTCTCCTCATTTTTTTGAATTCTTCTTTCTTCATCCTTTTCTGTTTGGTCATTTTTTTCTTCCTTCTGGTCCACTCCCTTGATTTGAGTCCCAGTTTCCTTTCCATCACTATTGGTTTCCTGTTCATTTCCCTTCATTTCAGTTAGTTTAGCCATCATATGTTCCTCTAATTTGTGACTAAAATCAACCAGTTCTGTGAGCATCCTGATCACCAGTGTTTTGAGCTGTTCGTCTTGAGCCATAATGTTTTGGTCTGTTTGTGCCTGTTACATTTGAGGGCTGGAGCCTTAGGTGTTCACCATGGTAGGGCCACCCAGTCACTGGGTTGTGACGCTGTTTGTGGGGGCAGGGTCAGAGAGGGGCAGTGGTATCTGTTCTGCTCTCTCTTGGATTTACAGCCCCTCTGGTGCTGGCTCCCCGGTGTGTGGGCCTGTGCACCCTCCAGGACCCTGTGGGTCTCTCCAGCATACTCTCTGTGAGCCTGGGAGTCTCTCCTGGCACCTCAACCCCTGAAAGTTTTTCCAATTGGTGCTTTTAGGCTTTAATTTCTGTAGCTGGGGCCCTAGCCTGTGCTGTCTCATTGCTCGCTCCTTCACCTGGTTTATCTGCTTGCGGATGTGTGACCGCTTTCAGCCAGCCGCTTTGCTCTCCCACTGGGTCCTCCCATTGCCACTCCCTGCCTGGGATCTGCCAACCGCGCCTGCGCATCTGGGTCGGTCCAGCCGCTTTTTCCTGTGCAACCCTGCTCCGCTAGCCGCTGACTCTTCCCCTCTTACCAGTCTGGCTGAATGGTTTGTTGTTGCCAGACTTATGTCCAGTTCAATTTTCTGTGTTTTGATTGTGTTTTTGTTACTCAACTTTGTTGTCTTTAAAGTTGGTTGTGCAAGGAGACACAGTGTTCCCACCTATGCCTCCATCTTGGC